CTGTCCCTTGGACAGCCCAGAGACCAAAGTGGTAAGAAGGCACCCTGATTATGTGAGATCTTTGCCTTCTTTAATGGAGATTGATCAGCAATCAAATGTAGAGTGAAAATGATCAGGCCACTGCAGGGCTCAGACCTCTGCCACCTGGGGGGTGGGATTTGCACGTTAAACTAGCTAGAGCAAGTAGATTATGAAAATGGTCAATCAGCTATTAACCCAAGGTTCCGTTTTTTTCCTCACCCTTTCTCTCTCTCACACACACCAAATGAGTAAAAAAAAAAAAAAAAAAAAAAAAAGTGCCTGTCAAAATAATCTCTCCCCAAAATCATCCAGTTGATTTACAAACATCAAGAGGCACCAGAACTTGGCATTGCACCACAAGGGCCAGCAGGTTCAAGGCCACATTCTACCCTATGGTTTTTGAAGCTACAAGAAGCTCTCTAGAGACGTGGTAAGCTAGTCTGAGGGCTAACATCAACGTGTGGTATTCGTTACTGGTTTAATAGTGGTTTTTTCACTAACAGCTAAGATGAGCAATGAGTTAACACTGAGGGCCCTTGCTTAGTACCAAAGGCCAAACAAAAACAGAAACAGAAACAGAAAAACAAAAAAAGGAAAAGAGAAAAGAAAGAAAGAAATTCCCCTTCCCCAACTAAACAAGAACTCTAGGTTTTATACTCTGACGACCCAGATATAGTCAAAGAGATCATACAGAATGTTCCTGGGGAGAAAGAGACCTCAATTCGTAGCTCTCCGGCCAACTTTTCAGCTTAGAAAACGTCTTTACAAGGGAATATTGAAACAGATACAAACAGAGGTTTATGGGATAGAAACAGTGAAAGATTTTAAACAGAACTAAACTCAGCTCTGGGGAACTGTGACCACATTATCTCAACTTCCCATTACTTGCTTGTAATAACACATAACCCAGGCCCTTCCCCTAACTCTAGTGCTCTGAATTCCCATAAGGAAATATCACTTTTCGGAGAAGAAGAAAAAAAATCAAACACATTTTAATGTATAGTCAATGAGAGGTAATGGGAGGAAGAGGGGAAGAAAGTCGGGTCAGAAGGGTCGAGGGGTTTTTTGTTTTACCCAATGTAATAAAAACCTTCTTAATGCAGAGACTGAAGATATAAAACCAAGGAGGCTTCAAATGGTTGTACTGAGCTGAATTCTGTGAATACCTGCAGCACTGGGAAGACAGCATGTTTTCAACCCCAGCTTGCAAGTTGTGTTAATGATGCAAATTAGACTGCCCTTATTTATTAACAAGTCCAGTGTGGCTTATGTAACCACACTCAAAACTTACTCTGTGTGTCTTAGATGCATGTAAAGCACAATCCAAAGTTCTAGAACCCCCAGTGTAGGACCTGAGAAGTAAACATCAGAGAAATAAAAACGAATGCCTCTCACCGAATCCTTCCGAATGCCAGGATATTTGTTTTTAGTACAATTAATTGCAGTGGAAAAGCTTACTAAGGTGAGGGGGCCAAAATCAACGTATTAATGACATCACATTACAGTCACTTAAACCAAGCCAACAATTTATTGCACATAGAGGCTCTGGCAGCAGAAGCTGCAAATTCTATTTATGTTGTACTAAGAGGAAAAATATTACACTTGTCTCCAAATATGCCCCCCCAAATCAGAAACTACCACCCAAGAAATTCAGAAAAAAAAGGCCATCACTGATCTCCACAAAATAAGAGCAATATAAAAGTGAATGCCCCCTTTCACCACCATGTAAATACACTTAACACTTCATGCTACTAAATGATACACTTAGAGATGGTTAAGATGGTAAATTTTATGTTAGGTATTTTTGACCACAATAAAAAAGAAACGTGTGATCTATTTTAACCATGCCTTTTACCACTTGAGTGAGACAGAACTTGTCCTTTGCAGTACATTTTGGCACCTGATACTACAGAGATTCAATAGCCAGTTACATAACTCCAACAACAGGCTTGACTCTTGAATTCCACTTATATATGACAATGGTATCATTTTTAAATTTAATTTAGCATGGCTTTGGTATAACTACGTCAGAGTAATAGAAGCTGACACTAAGCAGCAGTGTGATGTTGGGCAGATGTGATGCATCTCTATAGACAGAGAAGAGAGATGTAGGTAAATAGATCATGTTGGTGGGTAAAGAGTATGTGACAGATTACTATGACAGAATTTTTGATAAAACAGGCTCAAACGATGACTCTAAAAATGAAATGTCAACTTGGCTTAAAATATGCACATAGAAGCAAAACATAAAACTCTCTTAATGAGTCTATGCACATAGTTTTAGAATGTTCTACCATGGGCTCTCTCTGAACCCAAAAAGCACCATGGTGTACTTTCCCCCAAATATATAGATATTAAGTGATGTACCATTTTTAAATGATATAGTAAACTGTTGCTTCAGCAAGTTCCAATTATAGTTTATTTACTTCCATTTTTCCTATTGAAAAAAATAGAAACATGAAATTTCAGCTAAACACCATTAAACTGGAACTTTCAACAAGGTTATTCTAGGAATACCATTGGGTCTCATAACAAAGTAAAAAAAAAAATTTTGTAATTTGGTTCCAACTGTAGCTGGTATCCATTGGCCAAGAATGTAAAAGCTGTTCAAACAAATACTAATATGTAAGAAAAAGAGCCAGATGGTATCATATATGGATGACAGGGAAACAAGCTCATCCACTGATGTCATTTTGATATCAAAACAACAGAATTCAAAATAAGTATATGAAGTGCTTCCCAAACAAGGATTTTGGTACATTTTACAGAACACCAGGGCACAAACCGGCTGGGCTCAAACAAAGCTGAGGGGCAGAGCTGAGCACAGACTTTTTCTCAGAACTCACATCTACCAACCCCATCAAGAATCACTAAAGAACGTAATTCCCCATCCCAAACACTAACCCTACACACCTCCCCACGCTCTCAATTTCAGTGGATTTTCAAATCAAAAGAAAAAAAAATAACAGAAGAAATGAGGAGTGCCGCTGACAACAAACACTTGGGTAAAAATAAAAAAGCATCAGTTTTTTAAAGTCTGGAGATAGGAACCTGCCATCAGATATTACAGAAACCACAGCAATTGTGAAAACTGATATAAGAAAGCTCAGCTCAAATCTATTGATTTCATCAATACCAGGCAGCTAAGACCACTAAGGTTTAAAACAGTGTTTTTTTACACTTAAAGAGAGTTTTATTTTCCTTTTCTCCAATTAGGGCCTTAGAAATATTACAGTGAAAAAAAATGTTACAGTGAAAATGATTGGCTTGATCCCCTTTCCTCCTTCATTATAGATGCATCATCTAATACAGAATTTCAAAACCATCACCAACAAAACAAGACGTCTGACTGTATAAAGGCACTCTCCCTGGTCTCAAAATAGTCCAAAAGGCTCTGAATTCCATATGGCTTCCTCCATCTGACTACTGACCTCCCATCTCATGAAAAAGACACAGATCCTGATAGAAGGCCACAGACATTTGACCAGGCCAACCAGGGCCAGCACAGTTGGGGCCCTACCCACCCTTCCTCCGCAGTGGATCCTTGCAAAACAAAAACAAAAACAAAAACAAAACCCACCCAGATCCCAGCCTCCTGGATCCAGCCTGACAGTTGGCTCCTCCCAGCACATCTCAGCTCTGCTAGGCCTGCACATTCCCCTCTATGCTACTGCCATTTCCTTCTGCCCGAGCCTTAGACCATGAGCATCACCAGCAGAATAAACAACAGAGGCTAGGAAGGTCTCTTACTTACATTAAAAACAGGTTATCTCAGTCAACTACGTTGGCAGAAACAGGGTGTGCGTTTTCTGGGGAGGAAAAAAAACATGCGCACTCGCCAACCGGAAGGCCACAGTCCAAGCCCTACTTTCAGGGCTGCCTATCTGAGCACCAAACACCGTAAGGAAAACCGGGAGAAACTTTGCCTGACAATCCTCTGCATGGATGAATAAAATCTCATGCCAGTGAAATGTAGGCAATGACCAAGTCCCTTGGGCGGGGGGGTGGGGGGGAGAGACACCTCTAGGAGAGGTGACAGGGAATGCTAGGGATGGCACTGGTGAGTTCCTACTTGGTAATGTATTTATCACAAGCCGTCAGAACGGGAGGACAGAAATACACAACTCTGCTTCTCCCTCAGAGCAAGACAAGCTCAGACATTTCCAGGGACACAGAGGTCCGTCCCATGCTAAAAGGCAGCATTCTATACCCTGCTTTATCATCCAACCTAGTCCTGGGATAGTATTCAATCGGCAATTGAGATTTATAGTCCAAATGGTCTCAAAATTATATCTCTGGGAAGTCAAATCCAAATTAAATCAGACCAGGCTTTTAGGCTTCCGACAAGCACATTTTCTCTTTCAAGAGAGCACATTTCAACACTCAGAACTTCTCCTCTTACAGACCATTTTCCAGGCCAGCTCTGGATGCCATCTCCTAACAAAAATCTGATCTATAAAATGAAAAGGGAAACCGGTGAACTCCAAACCTCAGCGAATGATGTTTAAGGGGGCCACTCTAACCTCCTTCAACAGATTTCCAAAAGTTCATTATTTTAACCTCCTTTCTAGTAAATACTACTGGAACTTCTAACCCAACATACACTTAGCACCTTAGGAAAGAAAAATGTCCAAAACTAAGTTATTGCATAAGTAAAGCCTAAAGCACACCCATCAGGGCTCTGAAATACAGAGTGTATATGGATGGAATCCCTCCCCGCAAAGAACATATATATTTGTTACTGATACATACAGTATACTTAAAACTTATTTTCAACTGTCCACTTCTCCCCCACGTTAGCAGCCCCAAGCCAGAGAAACAGGTAACTGACAGACAGATGGCCCAGCCCTGCATCTCCCATGTATGTCGGACTTCTCCCCAGACCTGAGACAACATTCATGCCCCGGACAGACACGCCTGGCCAGCCCCAGCCCGAGGGGCGAGGAGAGAAGGAAGGAGGAAGAGCACCAGGAACTCACATTTCGGTGATGTTCTCAGGGTCTGCACTGTTGGGCTCCAACCTCGGAAACGCCACGATGCCCGGAGAAGGGTCGCTGCACCAGATCCTAGAGGCGCTGCATTTGCAGGACGTGGGACAGGCGAGAGCGGCCCTCCAGAAGCCCACAACCAGCCAGCAGAAGCCCCAGAGCCGCGCCATGGCGGGTCCATGCCACCTCGTCCAGGACGACATCCCTAGCCGCCAGTGCCAGCCCGAGTCGGACTGAGTACGCGTCCGCGCGCTGCACCGGCGGGCCTCCCCTGCCCCTGCTTGGGCGGCCTGTGCCGCGCTCGCCGCTCCTTCGCCCCGGTGCCTGTCGCGGGCGCGCAGAGCCGAGCGTGTCCGGGGCTGAGCGTGTCCTGGCGGGCGGCACCGTTCACAGTGGCCGGGGCATCTTGGGCCGCCTCACAGGGGGCGCTACCGCCGCTCGGAGCTCCGCCGCGGCCGCCGCTGCATGGCCCGGCGCGCCGAGCACCGGCCCGCGGCGCTGCCGGCACTCCCCGGGAAGCAGGCTCCTTGCTAGACGCGCACTGGGATCCGGGACGCACCTCGGGGCTGAGGACAAACAGACACGCGTGAGACTGAGCGCTGGACCCCATACAGCGCGCTCGCGGCACCCCCACCCCGACCCCAGCCAGGGGACTGTGGATGGATGCGTGCCCAGCTCCGGCCCCAGAAATAAACTTGCCCCTCGATGGCACTGACGCGGCCGAGGCCACCGATGTGCCCCCCCTCTCTCTGAGGTCGAGGGGGGGAGACAGGGCAAGGGTCCCCGAGACAGGATTCCATGGCACAGGCCGGGCGTAGGACCCTTTAAAGGGGGACGCAGAGACCGCCTGCGGCGGAGATGGCTCCGCGACGGGGGCCCCCAATGATGCTGCAGAATCCGCCACGGCCGCTGGGCGCAGGGGGCGCGGGCAGGTGGCGCGGCGCGTCCCACCTGGGGAGCCGCCACGGCCGTCCCGGGGGGTGGGGGGGGAACAGCGAGGGCCGAGACGCCGGAGGGCACTGTCCGCGCTGCTCACCCGGGCTCCGGCGCCTACCGCCCGCCCGCGGCGCCTGGGTGCAGGCTCCTCCTGCCGCTGGGCACTGAGCGCGGAGAGCGCGAGCGAAGGAGCGAGCGAGGCTCCTGCTCCAACCCAATTCCGGGAGCCGCCGCCGCCGCCGCCGCCTCTGCTACTGCTGGCGAAGTGACGTGAGGGCTGACGCAGAGCAGGGGCAGAAACTCCAGAAAATTAGTCTGAAATCCAAAAACACACACGCTCATGCACACACAAACCCATAACACCCTCCAGACAAAAGCAACAGGGAGGGGAGGGGAATCTGGGGGCGAGTGGGGAGGAGGGAGGCATCGGTGCCACTGGCCAGGAGCAGACAGCAGCAGCATGTGGGAGTTCATACACGCGCACACACGCACACATCCTGGCTGGGTAGACGCGCGCGCCTGTGTGTGTGTGTGTGTGTGTGCGCGCGCGCGCGCGTGTGTGCGCTGAGCTCCAGGTACCTCCGAGATGGACCGTTCCACCGCTCGACGCCTCTCAGTCCCTACTTCACACCACCGTCTCTTCTATCATCGCAGTAGAGGCTGTCTCCTTTTTTGAAATGGAAACCGGGCTCGGTTCAGCTCTGAAAAATGCGCTGATTCTTATTATAGGAATCCTCCCTCCCCGCTCCCTCCCCGCTGCGTTCTCCTTTTCCCATCCTGCCTAAAAGGGAGGGCAAGCTAGCCTAAAAATAAATAAATATTGTAAACACCAAAACGTGTTCAGCATTGGTAACCAAGGATAACCGCCCCCATTCTGGGCCATCTATTTGGGGATCCGTGGTTTGGGAGGGTCTCCCTGTGGGTGCTTTTGCAGAGGGAGGGGAGTCTCCAAATACAACTCTAGCTCTCTAAGTGGGTCTTTTTCCTGCCGTGTTCCGGCATCACACGCCCGGGAAATAGAGACATGTGAGGGGAAGGGAGCGCGCCTGACGCGTATTGGGTTCCCGAAATGCGCGGCCGCAACCCCGGCCTGTCCGATGTGTGGCGCCGCGTCATTTTCTGTCATCCTTCAGCCTGGCAGGGTTCGGCCGTTCCCAGATCGTCGCTTCACTTACCGCGATGCCCACCCCCGCCCCCGCGGGGCACCCCGAGCCCTTGCTCCCCTGCCGTACCTTGCGCGATTTCGTGTGTGCGCGGGTGTGCGCGAACGCGTGCCCTGCGCCCGCGCTGCCCAGAGCACGACATGCATCCAGGTACCGACAAGCCCGGCGCGGGCAGAGCCTCGGGGTCTCACTAGGGACAAACGAGGCGATCCGGGAGGCTCGGGTGACAAACCGTAACTGTTCTGCGGACGCAGTTAAATGATGGCTGCGGGGCATCCGCAAGCCTTGTCTGAGAATCCGTCTTCCCCATTTGCGGCTCCGAGAGTCTGTTTTTCCGCAGTCATTTAAAAGGGAACTGGGAAAATGCACCGCAGTGCCTGACACTTCCGAGGGCTCTGGTGCCCCCGCGCGGGGAGAGAGCGCCCCGCACGCTCCGGAGCACCAACCCTCCGCCGCGGCCGTGGCGGGCACTGCGCGGGGGGCGCGCTCTGGCTCCAGATGCGCAACCAGCGGCGCCCCACGCGTGCGCGCCCCTGCCCCGCCGGCACGCCGCTCGCCCGACCTCGCGGAGCTCCTGCCCGAGAAAAAGGCGGGCAGCGCTCAGCTCCAGAAAGGGCGACAGGATGGACTCTTGTCCAGAAGATAAGAATGGTCACCGATCTGCTCTCAGAGGCTGAGGGTGTGAAGGATCCAGAAACCCGAACGTCAAGGTGAATGCTTGCATCTTGGGGATGCCTTAAATATTACAAGGGAACGGAAAGCATCTGGGGGGGGGGGCTATTGTACAGACCCGGGGCGCTGAGTGTAACCGCGAGAAACCCTCGCGCAGGGCCCCAAAATCTCACTGCAGGGCCGGAAGACAAGGCCGGCAGGTCTGCCTCTTTCCACCGCCACTCAGCTGTGACATGCATCGTGTGCTGAAGTTCATTTCTCAGCTCGGCCCCCAACCCCTGCTGGGTGAAGACCTGCTAAGGAAGAGAGAAACTGTCTTGGTCCAAGACACACAGTAACACTCTCCCGCCTGTCTCGGCAGTGCCCTTAATGGATCTGCCCCTGCGGAACACCTGGGGGAGGGTGTGTACCTAATTACCCACCTCTCTCTCACACCCCCACCCTCATCCCATTTTTTCCCAGAAATGGCCCATTTGCACCCTAGTGGCTGCAAAGTGTCAGTACAGCAACTAAAGAACCGAAGGTTTCAGAGTGGTTTGCAGACCAGATTCTAATTACGTTGGAATAATTTTAGAAGTTGTATTATAACATATACATACTACTATTATATTTAGATTTTAGACATACCCCACTGACTGTTTCCCACTTGAAATTAGAACTGGCTGCCCCACTTCTAATCACACTTCCCCTGCTCTGTTTCTTCCATAGTACCTACCATTGTTTAACAGATCGTTTACCTATTTACTAGGTTTATATAGTTTATTGTATTTCTTCAAGCGGAATGTAAACTCCATGAAGGCAGGGATCTTTATTTTGTTCATCGATATATCTGAAGGACATAGTGGGTATTAAAATATGTGTGTGTGTGTGTGTGTAATGAATAAATGAAATAAGCTAAAGTTGCGATTCCTCAAATAGGCCCTCTTCACTCTCACTTTCTTAACCTATAACCCTGCAAGTGTGTCTGAATGATTGGCCCTGGAGAGTCTCCCTCCAGTCATCAGAACCTCAATTTTCTCGGTGCTATCCCAGCTATCAGCACTTCGGGGAGTCTGACTTTCTACCTCTTCTAATATCCAGGTATGTTTTAGCCTGGGCCAGGGAGGGACCTCCCCCCCATCCATGCTAGTAACTCAACATCATCATGCACAATACCTGGAAACACCAGGCAATCAATAACTATTTCTCAACTGATAGAATTACGGATCTATCTCAATTTTAAGAACCACCAGATCTTTCACGGACATTATTTCAGGGATCCTCAGACCATGACTTTGTAGGAGATGATGAATATTTTTGAGATGGACAGCCACTTTGGAAACAAAGAACCATTTCTTAAAAAGTGAGGCATAGTCCTACCATATGATCTAGCCATTCCATTTTTTTTTTGTATTTGTGAGAGAGAAATAAAAGCCTATGCCCATACAAAGACTCTTATGTGAGTGTTCATAGCCGCTTTGTTTGTGGAGGCCCCCAAACTGGAAACAACCCAAATATGTATCACCAGGCAAACTGGTGAACAAATTGTGGCATACCCACACCATGAGAGGCTACTCAGCAATGAAGAATCTCAAAATAATTATGCTGGGTCAAAGAAGCCAGACAAAAAGGAGTAGCTACTGTATGATCCCATTGTCATAAAACTATAGGCTCACATAGAAAACTATGTGAACTATCATGACAGAAAGCATATCAGTAACTGCAGGTGAGTGGAGCAGAGAGTGGAAGGAGCCACAGGGATCAGCGACACAGGTGCCCAGGAAGCTTTGAGGATGATGAATGTATTCATTATCTTGATTATGGTGATGATTTCCATATTATCAAGTTGTGTGTCTAAATATGTTCAATTTATTATATGTCATTCAACCAAGCTATTTTATTTATGTTTTGAGAGAGAGAGAGAGAGAGAGAGAGAGTGTGTGTGTGTGTGTGTGTGTGTGTGTGTACCAGCAGGGGGAGGGGCAGAGGGAGAATCTTAAGCAGGCTCCACACCCAGCATGGAGCTTGAAGCTGGGTTTGATCCCAGGGTGCTGAGATCATGACCTGAGCTGAAATCAAGAACCAGACGCTTCACCCACTGAGCACCCAGGCACCACTCAATAAAGCTATTTTAAACAAACACTGCCCTAGATCCTCCAATCATGAGCTTCTTGTTCTCATTGGAGTGCTAGTAGAAACTCCAATTTTAGGAAGCTATTATAAAGTTCAGAGGTTTTGTAAATAAGATCAGAATCTGTAATGTTCTAATAGTAGAGGGACCTACTACGTAATACCTTTTACATTCTAGAAAAAGACTGGGGACACCATCATTTGTAAGATGGGAGAGATAGTGGCCCACACCTAAAAATAGCTTGAATGTGCATTAATAGGAGAGTGACTCAATATATTATACTTCCATTCTTTATACTATTCTACACTTAATTAAAATGAGTTAAACTATAAACAGTAACCTGGAGATGTGTCCATAGTCCATATAAGTGAATAATGGAAGTTGCATGGCAATATTGAGTCTGAGCCTA